AGGGGGCTTCAGCAGACAGGCAGACAGCAGCAGGGACTCACCAACCTGGTGTGGGCCTCATCACAGCCCAAACAGCTCAGGTTTGGGCCAAGACATCAGTGTTCTCCACTGGTAGTAAGAGTGTCTACTTTCATTCATGTACACACAAATGCACACACACTCACACACAGGCTTAGCTAACATGAAAACCAAGCGGGTGCTCCCAATGTTTATCTGGATCAAGTTGACTTGAGTTTAGATGGCAAGCAGTAGTTTACAGCAGGGTGCTGGCCCCGGGGGCCCACAGAGGGCCTGAGTCTCAGTGGATCCTGATCCTCCCCCAGGTCCCCCTTCTCCCTCCCCATGTACATCTATACATAGAGAGGGCTCCATGCCTGTTCGATTGGACCTCGTGAGTCCATCTGGAAGATAATTTAAAAGGGATGGAAGGATGATATACTAAGTAATGTAGGAAATGAAGTCTTGTTTACTTTAAAGATGGAGAAGACAGTTTGCCAATAAAACATAGCACTTCATTTCCCTCTAGAATTCTGTTATTAAAATTAATCTGCAATGAACTCCTGGCACCTCTCTCACAAGCCCTTCCAAAAGCTTTAAAAATAATAAAGCATGCTCAAGAAGAGCAGAGTGCATTCCAGCAAGACAGCTGGACCAAATTGCCTTCTCCTTGGCGGAGGGAGTGGGAAGGAAGGCAGCTGGCAGCTTCATAAATTAAGCACATTAAGGACAAAATTAGTGAAGGAATGTCATCCCTCCATCTCTTCAGAGATACCCACAAACGCAGTCTAAACATGAACATGAATTCAGCTCACAACTTCACTCTTATACGCACAGGCTCCACAGAGACACATACAAACACAGAGCCACAAACACACATGTAAAGACTTGGGTACAATCTTGACATGGTACACATGCAAAATACATGTTTGCACACACTGACACAACATATACACACTTCAGCAGGGATAAAGACTGAAAATATGCTAAGTGAAAGAAGCCCAACCTCAAAGGCTGTGTATTATATGATTCTATAAAATGTCCAGAATAGACAAATATGTAAAGACTGAAAACAGGCTGGTGGTTGCCAGGGGCTGTAAGGCAGAGAGGTGGGGGAAGGGAAAGGGGAGGGACTGTTTCATGCACATGGGGCTCCCTTTTGGGGAGATGAAAATATTCTGGAACTAGACAGTGGTAATGGTTATACAACACTGTGAATCTACCAACTACTACGTAATGGTACAGTAGAAAATAGTAAATGTTATGCTATGTGCATTTTATTACAATTTTTTTGAGAAAGAAAATTTAATCAAAAAAATTTAAAAAGGTGGACTGGGTCCCAAATCAACGTCCATTCCCTTCTATCACATGAGCTGTTGGTAATGATGCCATTTTTACAGTTCATTTCTCCCATGGTGGGGGGATATTGGCATTAAAGTACTTAATATTTTTTTCTCTGTATTGGCAGAAGCAAGCATGCTAGCTGGGAACTATTGCTATGAAAGGTGTTGTGGAGACATTAATTCACCAGGGTACGTGCAGTCTTGGTGCCTCTCCAATAATGATGGTGAAACCCAAGCTCATACAAGTCCTTACAAGGAAGAAAATACGCAGTGCCCTGCCATTGCTTAAGCGTCAACGTCAGGTGCTGGGCCCATGCAAATTTCTAAAAGTGGCCCAGAGGAAAAGGGGGTCAGAGTTTCACAGAGACCCACCTGGGCAGAGCGAGTCTTTCACCCGATCCTCTGGCATGAAATGGTGAAACGCTGATGCCTCCAGCCCTTATAAGCACCGCAGATAATGAAGCCTTGTGGCCCCCTCTCCCTCTACACCCAGTTCTGAAGAATGCTTGGCATCAAGTGGCACAGAGATCATGCCAGGGTCCCCATGGATTCTTCCCTGGAAAGCACCCAGAGGAGGTCTGTGGTGGCCCAACCCTGCCCAGGCTAAGAAAGAGATGACATTTGGCAACCCACACTATCCTCTCGTTTTAAAGTCAATAATTTTACAAAACCTTTCATTTAAAACATTGGAGCAGCGTGACTTTGAGAAATGAAATACATTTTGTAGGATGAAGGCATTGTCACGCACAATTTCTGCCCTTCTCTGCCCACATCTCTACTCTCTTCTTGCCAAGAAGAAGAGCCTGGGGCACCTGTGGCCACTTTGGGTGAGGCTAAGTCAGGACAGAGAGGAGCTAAGACATGGGTGGGGGAGGAGGGCAAGAAGAGGCCGTGACTTTGCTGCAGTCCTTGACAGCAGCCAGTGTGAGTCAAGCGTTGATTAATACAGATAAGGTCAAGCCTAGAAGGCCAATTCTATTAAACTCAAATCTTATTATCACATCTCACATGCAGATTACAGCCTCTCAAATAATGGTAGCTATCTGTATTGGGGTGACATGGGGATTTTTTGGGCACTGGAGAAATTCTTTTGACAGGGAAATGAATGGGCTGAAGGCAGAACGACAGATGAGCGAGCTGGGCCGTCTCCTGAGAGCCCTGAGACAGGATACAATGCGGCTGTCATGCTAAGTGACATTCAGTCCCTTCAGAAGTTGGCCTGGCCATGCCCGGGAGCGGCCCCGGCCCCAGAAGCAGGGTCACGCTTGGGCCAGGGAGCCTGCAGAGATGGCCAGGGCTGCACATCTGGGGAGGGACATGGGCAGGCGAGGCGGAGCCCACCCAGTCCATCGGGGTATTGGTTTACACAAAAACATCTCTTTGTGTTTTAGATACCTGACACATTCCAAAAGACAATTTAACTAAGTAACAATACAGCTTTCTGAGACCCTGCATGGAGATGCCAGCCACATTGGGCCTGAACTTCTGTCCTAAAGAAACTGCAAAACAATAAATAGCTGTTGGTTCCCCATTGTGTGGTAATTTGTTATGCAGCAATAAAAACCTGCACACTCACACCAGCACCCTTCCAACAGCAGCCCACTTCTGAGTCCATTCTGCAATTTCAATAACCGAGATCCTTCCATGTCATTCAGTAACTCCTTCATTATATCCCTAAACTACTTCCCGAATGTCCTGCAAGTGCACTCACACACACACCTTGACACACACACACATGCACTCACATCCAAATACACATACATTCACACACACATATATATACATATTCACACACTCACACATGCACTCACATACAAATACACACATTCACACATGCACTCACATACAACACACACATACATGCTCTCACAGATACATTCACACACACGTGCACTCACAAATACACATTCACACACACATGCACTCATACAAATACACACATTAACACACACACATGCACTCACAAATACATTGACACACACATGAACTCACATACAAATACACACATGCTCTCACATACAATTACACATTCACACACATGCACTCACATACAAATACACAAACATTCACTCACACACTTATACAGGCACTCACAAATACACATTCACTCACATGGACACTCACATGCCCTAATACAAATACATTCACTCACACACACATACACTCATACAAATACACATTCACACACTTGTGCACTCACATTCACAGTCATATACATACACACACTTGCCTACATGCACTCACAGTCATACACACATTCACTCACACTCACATGCACAGTCACACACATACACCCACACATACACACACACACGGACTCACACTCATACACATGCATTCACACACACAGTCTCACACACACATTCACACAGTCACATTCACATGCACTCACACACACTGGCACACACCCAGGCACTCGCCTTCACACACGCAGTCACACTCAGGCACTCACACACAGGCACTCACGCTCACACAGTCGCTCACACAGGCACACACACATGCACGCACACACACACACTCCTAAAGAGCTCCCAAGGGGAGTCATGCTGTGGGATCGCCAGGGCCCTCTGGCTGTGGGAGGAGTCAGTGCAGGAGTCACTCCTTCTAGTAAATAGATCGCTGGCCTGAGGAGGCCAGGGCCCTCCTGCAGAGGAAGCGAGTTCTGGGGAGGATGAAAGATGGGAGTGTTCCATATAGGGGGCGGAACACAGAACATTCTCGAAGGCGGCGGGAGTGGGAGCAGGAGCCTGGTGGGTGCCCAGAGGTGGCAGTCAGGTTCCATCGAGTCTGAGCTCTTTCACAGGAAGGTCGGGGCCTGGAGCTGGCAAGAGGTTCCTGCAGTGTGGATGTGGTGGAGAGCTCTGCGGGCCATGTGGAAAGGGGGCTGGGCCAAGGGTGCCAGGGCGGACACCATCACCCAGTCAGGGCTTGGCCGGGATGGCGGCGGGGGACTGCCATGTAGAGCTGCTGCGCAAGGGGCTCCTGCCGGGCAGAGCACCAGTAAGGACAGCGCAGCCCTGCCGAAGGACAGAAGCGACTGTCGGGGCAGAAACAGGGAGAAAGGGTGCGGGTATCCCCTAAGAAGTCAGTTGAGAGAGCAAAAGAGCAGGCCCTTATCCCACCAAGATAAGTGCCCCTGGCAAAACACAAAACAAAACAAAATGTAAGGATGCAGTTCTCCCCTGTTGCCTTCACGTTCTCAGCTAATGACCCGTGGGGCCCAGAGTGAGGCTGAGGTCACCATGGAGGCAGAATGCCATGCAACTGTGGGGACTGCAGGCGGCTCCGAGAAACCGAAACCCACTGGGGCTCAGCTCCTCTGGGAAGCAGCCAAGGGGGTGCCCTGTCCTGGCAGAACCGTGGCTACAGCCCCCCCAAAGCCTTGTCCCCCTCTCCTTCACCCACTGTCACACATGCTCACTGCCCTGCCAAGCCCCTAGGACTCCCTTATCATTTGGAGGTAACCAAGTTCTCGTGCCGTGATCCAATCATTTCCTTCCAGGCATAAGGCACTTCAAGAAGATGATGGACAGGTGCTATTACACAACTTCTTCACTGTAATTCTCCTGCCAGTACTTTCTCACTGTTTAAAATCAATAAGGAGGAGGTACTGTATTACTCTGTTTTCACGCTGCTGATAAAGACATACCCAAGGCTGGGCAATTTAGAAAAAAAAGAGGTTTATTGGACTTACAGTTCCAGATAGCAGAGGAAGCCTCACAATCATGGCAGAAGGCAAGGAGAAGCAAATCACGTCTTCCATGGATGGCAGCAGGCAAAGAGGGAGAAATTGGGCAAGGAAATTCCCCTTATAATACAATCAGATCTCATGAGACTTACTTTCATGAGAACAGCATGCGAAAGACCTCCCCTCATGATTCAATTTCTTCCCACCAGTTCCCTCCCACAACATGTGGGAATTCAAGATGAGATGTGCGTGTGAACAGAGCCAAACTATGTCAAGTACCAAGGATAAAACCCAGGGAGCAGCTGAGGGGACACCAGGGGCAAGAATGAGAGGAAGGTGAAGGGCAAGTCCAGGGCCCCAGGAGTGTGGGTCCCAGGCAGAGGCAGCCACAAATGCAGGGAACAGGCTCTCCTGTCCTCTCAGCCCCTCTGCTTGCCACCAAAAGGCTGACTCTCTGAAAACTAAGCTCACAGTGACCAGTGGGTGGCAGGAAGCTTCCTGCAGGTTGAAAGCACAGAGGAGGGAAGTGGTGTCAGGAGCATGAGCCAAGTGGGGCTGGGGGGGCCTGGGGTCATGGCATGCGATTCACGTGGCCAGGGTCCCACCTCCCTGTCAGAGTGTAGGGCAACCAACTGGTCTCTGGGTCAGGATGCTGCCTCACCACCCACCACTGCACACCCCTTCCAGAAAGAGGCCTGTGGCTACCTGGATTCTCATCCAGCAGAAAGAATATGGACTTCAGTGTGTGAAAGTCTTTTCCTCAGTCTGTTCAGGTAGACGTATCACTGGTGGTCTAAGATGCTGATCAAAACAGAGCTTCCACCTCAGCCTTGACCAATGACGGAGGTTCTGATAACATTACTGTGTATGGCACCATCACAGGCCAAAATTCATAGCAATGTTTTGTTGAATCTAATTTTTGTTACACTGCATATTTTTTGAAATAAATGCATATTTTCCTAGACACTGAGTTAATTCCATAAACACCTGTGGGTGCCAGCAGGGGTGTTATGAGCAGAAGCCATTGGAGAGATGATGGCTCCTGCTGCTGGGAGACTCGCCAGACAGAACCCATGTGCTATGTGTTGGGTGAGAGGAGTCCAGGAAGGTTTCACCCAGGAAAGGACGTTGAGCAGGGATGGGGGAGGAGAGGACCAGGTGGGATTTGCTGGGAAGATAAGAGAAAGGCAGTGCAGAAAGAGGAAATAACTCCTGCAAAGACCAAGATCTTAAAGAATTAAACTAAGGAAGTGCCAATATAAATGAGGACTGGGGAAATAGGAGACCCATTAAAGGAGAGTGAATTCCAAAGGCTTCCATAATGGGGGCTAAGGAGCTGAGGCATTCAGCATGACCCCCTGTGAGGGAGCAAAAGGTGGCGTCACCAGTGAAGACTTGGAAGTGGCTGGAGGAGCAAGCTGCAGGAAGGAAGCGAGTTCCGTCTTGACTGTGTCTGCTGGACATTCCAAAGCTGCTGTCTGCTAGGTGAGTTCATCTGGAGACCAGGAAGCAGGGTCAGCGGTAAAAAATAATGACAATAATTAATTAATTAAAAATATTTTTACAATTCCTGGAGTGTGAGTTACTCAGAAAGAGCATCTGCAAAATTGGCAGACAGCAGAGCCATGGGGAGTACATATTTCCTACAGAGTTTGTAGGGTAAAAATACATAGGAGGTGGGTGCAGAGACTGACGAAGAACAGACATTGCAAGAAAGAGCAAGGGACCCATGGACCCGCAAGCATTATCACTGCAAGCTGTGAGCAAAGCACTTTCTGGGTGCCACATGCTTCGTCTGTAAGGCCTCTTCAGTCTTCCCAAAGTCTCTGTGCAGTTACTTGCTCTCTTCCCCATTGCATAGATGAGAAAAAGAAGTCTCAGAGCTGGTCAGTGATGAGTCCAAAATCACACCGCTCTTACCTGGTGGAGCTGCTGTTGGAACTTACCGCAAAGCACATGCTTCTTCCACTCTGCTGGGCAGCACCACCTTTGTCACAGAAGAACAGGAAGGTCACACCTTCAGAGTCTGGAAAGAGAACAGGCAAGAGGCGTGACTGTCACCTGCCTGCAGGAGAGCAGTTTGTGGAGTTTGGGAAGTTGGAGCCGGGTTGCACAAACTAACTGAAGGGCTGGACAGGGATAGACGTAGGCCAGGCCAGCTTCTCTTGCCAGAAAGAAGTTCAACCGTGACTTGAGACAGGCCTCACTCAGGCTTCACAGTGAGGGTATTTTCACTTTCTTTTTTTTTTTTTTTCCTGTTGGTGTTTTAAGCTTGTGCATGCTCATAATCTGTGGGGGAAAGAGTCAAAGAAGGAAACATGGAGGGAAGGTAAGAAGTTAAATAAAGGAAAGAACAAAGTACTTAAGAGGAAAGAGATGTAAGTGTCAAGATGGAGAAGGAGGAATTATCCCCAGACGAGAGGGCAGCGCGTTTGCTTCAGAGACCTGAGAACAGCAAGGAAGGGCATTTGTGGGCTTGGGGCCAGGAAGCTGAAGGACTCCTCTTCTAACCTAGGGAAGGACGTGCATGCCAGCAGGGGCTGAGATGAGGCAGTGGGAAGAAGGGCTGAAGGAGCATGGTAACAGCAGAACGGCATGCCCAGCCGAGCCCTGTGTGCCCCCCAACAGGAGACCTCACACTGGTCCTTGAACCAATCACGTAACTCTCCTGTCTTCTTGGCCAGCCTCAGCTGCAGGTGAGCAGGAGGAGAGAGCAGACGGCTCTACGGGTTTACAGCTGAACACTGGCAGAAAGTCAAGGGGAGAGGGACTGGCAGGGGCTAGAATGACCTTCAGAAGACATTTACGAGAAGAAAGGCATGTTGCAATGTGTGTTGTAATGGGAATTGGCAAGACCTTTATACCACCAAGCATCTAAGGGTGCAGTTTTGAATCCTGTCAAGATAGCTCTACTTGGAGCTTTGTTTAAAGGTTTCCTAATCTTCTCCCCCATCCGCCTCTCTTTCAACACATAGTAGATAAATGCTAAATAGACAAACGTCCCACTTAGCCTCAGTAACAGAGGAAACCCAAGCTGTAGGGTCATCTAAGACGCACAGAGGAAAAATGTGAAATGTCCATACGCACAGGCGGTGCTCAGTCCCCATGTGCAGCCTGGGTCCCTGATGCCATTCCTCTCCAGAATGGCAAGCTCGTCCTTTGGGGCTCTGTGTCCTCGGAGTTCTCTTCTTCCACATTCTTCTCCTCGCAGCAGTCTTTGTTCCCTTATCTGTCCCAGGACTCAAGGGGCTGAAGCCCTCCAAAATTCTAGCAGTTTATGAGCCCTCCTCCTCCTTCAGCAGCTGCTCTGTAGCCATTTCTTCTGCATCCTCATAAGACACTATAAGAAATGGTGCACCCGGCTCCAGAGTGCTGGGTTACTCAGCCCCTCCTAGCTTCCAGATGATGGATGGCAAGCCCGGGGCTGTCAGCAGGGGCATGGGCTGGGGACAGACAGAAGAGCAAAAAAGAACATCACCTTTTGGCCATTGTCCCAGAGTCTTGCACCTCGTCACCAGTCTTATTAACCATTTGGTCCAAAATATTACCTTAAAAAATGTGATGAAAGTAAGCCACTCTTAAAAATCATGCAACTGTCACTATGGAAAACAGTATGGTGGTTCCTCAAAATATTAAACACAGAATTACCGTCTGATCCAGCAACTCAACTCCATTTCTAGGCATATATACAAAATAACTGAAAGCAGGATTTCAAGCAGACATTTATACGCCTGTGTTCATGGTAGCATCGTTCACAACACCCAAGAGGTAGAAACAACCCAGTGTCCATCGATGCATGAACAGATAAGCAAACTGTGATATAGACATGCAATGGAATATTATTCAGCCTTAAAAAGGAGGGTCATTCTGACACATGCTGCTACATGGATAAACCTTGAGGTCGTTATGTTACCTGAAATAAGCCAGTCACAAAAGGACAGATGCTGTTTCATTCCACTTACATGAGATGCCTAGGGTAGTCCAATTCCTGGAGACAAAGTAGAATGGAGGTTGCCAGGGCTTGGGGGGAGGAGGAATGGGGAATTGTTTAATGGGTACAGTTTCAGATTTTCAAGATGAAAAGACTTCTGTGGATAAATGGTGGTGATGATTGCACAGCAATGTTCAATGAACTTAATGCCACTGAACTGTACGCTTAAAAATGGTTAACATGGTACATTCCATGTGATGTGTATTTTACCACTATAAAAAGATTTTTAATCACACAAACGCTTTCTTCTTCCGTACTCCAGGATCAGCAGCCACACTTCTGCCCCAAGGAGTGAAGCAGAGTAGAGAGCTCACCCGCTGCCTGGGACCTGATGAAAGATCCAGGCAGACAGTGGCCCTCTGCGGAACCGTGGAGGCAGAGCTGCCTCCCTTTCCCGCAGCTGCCAGGACCCCTGACTCCGGATGCAGGGTCCCCGCCCGCGTCCTGTGACAGCCGCCACGCGCTGCGCAGCCTGGGCAGACTGCTCCCACTCGGAGCTCCCCTCCTGGACCCCCCGCAGCTCTCCTGCGCGGTGGCCAGGCTACCTTCCCAGTCTCCGTCAAAGACACAAATTATCGAAATTCTGCCGCTACTCCAGACAGAAGCAAACGTGAGGGCTCTGGGAGCTTCCGCCCCTGGAAGGAGCGCGCTGTGCCATTGTTGAATGGGGCCGCAGGGTCGGGCAGAAGAGGCAGCTCGGAGGAGGGCGCGGCCCGAGCGGAGCGCGGCAGACAGGCTGGGCTGGGACCCCTGGCGCTCTCCCCGGGCAGTTCCAGGGCCGCCCCGCAGCGCCCTCTGCCGGCCAAGCCCAGAGCGGGCGTGCGCGCCCCCGGGGCCCAGAAGCTGTCCCTGCTTGCGAAGCCCACCTCTCCGGAGGCACTGGGCTTCTGGCGGGTACTTTTTTACCCCTCTCCAAAAGGCCAGGATGTCTTAGATCTGGGCACCGCGTTTCTAGTGTCCCTCTGAATCGACCAGTGAATGAACCCATTTCCAGGAAGCTGAGTCGTGCAAAATGCGAAAGAGTGAACCCAGCGGGAGTCGAGAGGGCGTTCCCGACGAGGGCCCCATGGGCGAGAGCTTGCGGGTGTGAGGGCCTGGGCCCACCGTGTAGGCCTGGCTTCTCTCTTCCCTAAAAAGTCCTTGTGCAAACGAGTCAGTAACCACGGCGGGAAGGCTTCCCGGCCGGGCTCTCCGCTGCCTGCACCAAGCTCGAGGCGGGAGGTGAGAGGGCTCCGGACCCCGCCCTTCCTTCTTCCTCCTGCTCGCAGCTTTGGGGCCACCCTGGGCCAGGCCCTGGCCCTGTGGACCTCATCGGCTCACAGTGGTCACCGAGACGCTCGCGGCGCCCGGGTCCTGCTCACCTCCAGCTTCTTCCGCTTTCTGAATCCCCCACCCTGATGCCCTCGGTACCCGGCCTCACTTCAGGCCACCGATCTCACCTCCGTCGGCGGCTTCCTGTCCTGCCGCAGCTGGAACTCCATGGCCCTTTCCTTAAAGCGCTGCCTTGGAGACGCCCTCAAGGCCCTGGCCCCTGGTTCAGCCCCTCACCCTCGCATCCCTCCTGCACTCTGCCGCCTCTCCTGGACCGCTGGAGGTGTTGGGAGAGGGCGGCTTTGTGCACTGTGACCCCGGCATCCTCAGGGGGACCCACGTAGGCTGGAAGCGAATGCCCCTGCAGCCCCGCGCCTCCCACTCTCCCACGCGACTCCTCACATCCACTCCTTTCCTCAGCCTCCCAGAACCTCTTGGGCTCACTGCGGGGTGATGGCCTTGCTTTTGCCACCATGAGAAGGCAGGGGTTAAGGGATCAGGGCATTGGCACAGGCCGCCTCCGACACCCTGCCCCTGTGTGCCATCTGCTGCCCTGCGCCGCAATCCTGCCCTAAGACCTTCCCAATAGCCCTCTGGGCCAGCCCCCGGGCCCCCAGGCCGCCTGCTGAGCCACCAGCCACTCCCTCACCTCCAACTTCCCTCTCCTCTAGGTTATTCCAGTGAAGGCCAAATCGAGTCGGGATTCTCCACCTTACAAATGCCTCCTCAGGACCCCACACCCCTCTCCCCAGCAACCTCCCCCTTTCCCTGCTCCTGTTTCTCCGTCACACCCTGACACATTCACCTTTACCCCAGCACTCCACCAAAACCACTCCGACATTGTCAGTGTCACTTATTCTCCTCGCCCTGCTGTGCTTTCTACGATACTGGGCAATGCTAATAATTCCCACCTTGCAAAGCTTTCCCACACCATGGTCTCAGCCTGGGCCTGGCTCCCCAGTCCCTCAAGCCTCCCTACAGCTTCTGTCACCCAGGGAAGCCCAGCTTCAGGGGTGGTCTCTGCCCCTCTGGAGGCATGCTCCTCTTCTGAGGATTTCACCCACCCTCACTGTTTAAAAGCCACATTTCCATCTGTGAGTTATGAAGGAGCAGGCCTGTCCCAGCCAGCTTCTCACACCAGCTCCGCACTTGCCTTTCGTGTAGTCCACCAGACAGCTCCTCCCAAATGCCGAACCTTAAACTAAAAACACAAAGAGCAAACTCCTGATTCCACTCATTTAAAAAAAAAAAAAAAAAAATCCGATCTAGGACCCAAGATGGCCAAATAGGAACAGCTCTGGGCGGCAGTTCCCAGTGAAATGCAGAGGGTGAGTGATCACCGCATTTCCAAGTGAATTTTTACTGCCTAGAGACCAGGAGATTCCCAGGCGGAAAAGCACCGAGTCTCCAGCATGGCTGTTTCAGCTGGCACAGTGGGCCTCCGCACAAAAACTCACACAAATCCCAGGTTTGAACTAGCAACTGGAACGCCTGGGAAACAGGGAGCCAGGTGATCTGGCTCGGCTGGTCCCACCCCCACAAAGACCAGCAATCTAAAATGCTCTGGATTGAGAGTTTCACAGCAAGCACAGCTGGGCCCAGGACGGTCCAGCTCTGTTAGGGGAAGGGCATCCACCATTACTGAGGCAGTCTACCACTACCGAGGCAGTCCACCATTACCAAGGCACTCTGCCATTACCGAGGCAGTTCTAACTATTCCCCTATAAATAAAACTGCAAGGAAGTTCACACAGCAGCTGGGCAGAGCCCATAGCAGCTCAGCAATGCTTGTGCTGGCAGACTGTGACTAGGCTACCTCCTTGCTGGGCAGGGCATCTTTGAAAAAAGGGAGCAGAATGACAGGAACTTATAAATAAAAGACCCCACCTTCCTGGGAAAGAGCGCCTGGGAAAAAAAGGTGGTTATGAGTGCTGCTGCAGCAGACTTAAATGTACCTGCCCAGCAGCTCTGAACAGAACAGTGGAGCTCGCAGCTCAGCACTTGAGCTCCTATAAGGGACAAACTGTCTCCTCAAGCAGCTCCCCAACCACTGTATAACCAAAGACACAGCTCATAAAGGAGAGCTCAGGCTGACATCTGGCAGGTATCCTTCTGGGACAAAGATAACAGAAAAAGAAACTGGCAGCAACCCTTACTGTTCTGCAGCCACTGCAGGTGATTCCCCAGGCAAGCAGCGTCTAGAGTGGACCTCAGCAGTCCTACAACAAAGGGGCCTGACTGTTAGAAGGAAAACTAAGAAACAGAAAGAAATAACTTCATCAGCAACAAAAAGGACATCTACTCAGCGACCCCATCTGAAAGTCACCAACTACAAAGACCACGGGGAGATAAATCCACAAAGATGGAAAGAAACCAGTGGAAAAAGGATGAAAATACCCAAAACCAGAATGACTTTCCTCCTCCAAGGGATCACAACTCCTCTCCAGCAAGGGAACAAGGCTGGATGGAGAATGAGTCTGATGAATTGACAGAAACAGGCTTCAGAAGGTGGGTAATAACAAACTTCTCTGAGCTAAAAGATCGTGTTCTAACCCAATGCAAAGAAACTAAGAACCTTGAAAAAAGGTTTGATGAAATGCTAACAAGAATAAGCAGCGTAGAGGGAATATAAATGAATTGATGGAGCTGAAAAACACAACACGAGAACTTCATGAAGCATACACAAGTTTCAATAGCCAAATCGACCAAGCAGAAGAAAGGATATCAGAGATTGAGGATCAACTCAATGAAATAAAATGAGAAGGCAAGATTAGAGAATAAAGAGTTAAAAAGAATAAACAAATCCTCCAAGAAATATGGGATTGTGTGAAAAGATCTAATCTACATTTGATAGGTGTACCTGAATGTGATGGAGAGAATGAATCTAAGCTGGAAAACACTCTTCAGGATATTATCCAGTAGAACTTCCCAAACTAGCAAGGCAGGCCAACATTCACACCCAGAGAATACCACAAAGATATTCCTCAAGAAGAGCAACCCCAAGGCACATAATCATCAGATTCACCAGGGTTGAAATGAAGGAAAAAATGCTCAGGGAAGCCAGAGAGAAAGCTCAGGTTATCAACAAAGGGAAGCCCATCAGACTCACAGCATATCCTCAGCACAAATCCTACAAGCCAGAAGAGAGTGGGGGCCAATATTCAACATCCTTAAAGAAAAGAACTTTTAACCTAGAATTTCATATCCAGCCAAACTAAGCTTCATAAGTGAAGGAGAAATAAAATCCTTTATGAACAAGCAATTGCTCAGAGATTTCATCACCACCAGGCCTGCTTTATAAGAGTTCCTGAAAGAAGCACTAAACATAGAAAGGAACAACGAGTACCAGCCACTCCGAAAACATACCAAGTGATAAAGAGCATCAACACAATGAAGCAAATGTGTCAATTAACCAGCAAAACAACCAGCTAGCATCAAAATGGCAGGATCAAATTCCTACATAACAATATTAACCCTAAATGTAAGTGGGCTAAATGCCCCAATCAAAAGACACAGACTGGCAAATTGGATAAAAAGTCAAAACCCATCGGTGTGCTGTATCAGGAAACCCATCTCCACCATGCAAGGTTACACATAGGCTCAAAATAAAGGGATGAGGAAGAACTATCAAGAAAATGGAAAGCAAAAATAAAACAGGAGTGGCAATCCCAGTCTCTAATAAAATAGACCTTAAATCACAAAGATCAAAAGAAACAAAGAAGGGCATTGCATAATGGTAAAAGGATCAATGCAACAAGAAGAGCTAATGATCCTAAATATATACGTGCTCAATAAAGGAGCACCCAGATACATAAGGCAAGTTCTTAATGACCTACAGAGACTTAGATGCCCACACAATAATAGTGGGAGACTTTAACACTCCACTGTCACTATTAGACAGATCAATGAGACAAAAAATTAACAAGGATACCCAGAACAAGCAAACCTAATAGGCATTTACAGAACTCTCCACCCCAAATCCACAGTATATTCTTCTCAGGACCACATCACACCTACTCTAATATTGACCACATAATTGGAAGTAAATCACTCCTCAGCAAATGCAAAGAACGGAAATCACAACAAACAGTCTCTCAGACCATAGTGCAATCAAATTAGAACAGAGAACTCAGAAACTAACTCAGAACTGCATAACTTAATGGAAACTGAACAACTGGCTCTTGAATGTTGACTGGATAAACAATGAAATGAAGGCAGAAATAAAGATATTCTTCAAAACCAACAAGAATGTAGACATAATATACTAGAATCTCTGGGACACATTTAAAGCAGTGTCTAGAAGAAAATTTATACCAATAAATGCCCACATGAGAAGCAAGGAAAGATCTAAAATCGACACCCTACCGTCAAAATTGAAAGAACTAGAGAAGCAAGATCAAGAAAACTCAAAGGCTAGCAGAGGACAAGAAATAACTACGATCAGAGCAGAAATGAAGTAGATAGAGACAAAAAAAACTCTTCAAAAAATCAATAAATCCAGGAGCTGATTTTTTGAAAAGATCAACAAAATAGACCACTAGCAAGATTAATAAAAAAGAAAAGAGAGAATAATCACATAGCTGCAATAAAAAATGATAAAGGGGATATCACCACAGATTTCACAGAAATACAAACCACCATCAGAGATTATTATGAACAACTCTATGCACATAAACCAGTAAACCTGGAAAAAATGTATAAATTCCTGGACACTTGCACCCTCCCAAGCCTAAACCAGGAAGAAGTTGAAACCCTGAATAGACCAATAATAAGGGCTGAAGTTGAGGCAGCAATTAATAGCCTACCAACCAAAAAAAGCCCAGGTCCAGATGGGTTCACAGCCGAATTCTACCAGACATACAAAGAGGAGCTGGTACCATTCCTTCTGAAACTATTCCAAACAATACAAAAAGAGAGAAGCCTCCCCAAATCTTTTTTATGAGACCAACATCATTCTGATACCAAAACCCGGCAGAGATTCAACAAGAAAAGAAAACTTCAGGCCAATATCTATGATAAACTGAGATGCAAAAATCTTCAATAAAATACTGGCAAACCAACTGCAGCACATCAAAAAGCTTATCCGATCAAGTAGGCTTCATCCCGGAGATGCAAGGCGGTTCAACATGTGCAAGTCTATCAACGTATTCACCACGTAAACAGAACAAAAGCCAAAAAACACATGATTATCTCAATAGATGCAGAGAAGGCCTTCGACAAAATTCAACAGCGCTTTATGCTAACAACTCTTAATAAACTAGCTATCAACAGAACGTATCTTAAAATAATAAAAGCTATCTACAACAAACCCACAGCCAGTATCATACTGAATGGGCAAAAACTGGAAGCATTCCCTTTGAAATCTGGCACTAGACAAGGATGCCCTCTCTCACCACTCCTATTCAATATAGTATTGGAAGTAGCATTCCTATAC